AATAGGTAAATAAAATATTTTACTACTCTGATCTCTGTGTGTGTGTGTGTGTGCATGCACATGCCTGTGTATATGCATGTGCCTGCATGTGAAGTAAAATGTTGACTGTCTTCATCACACTCCACAAACCCAGAGGCCCCTGATTTACTTAGTTTGCTAGCCAGCTTGCCATGAAGATCCCATCTCTGCTTCCTGAGTGCAGGGCTTACAGGCAGCCAGTGTACTTGTCCAGCTTTTACTTGGGTTTTAGGAATCCAGGCTCCAATACACACACATGTGCAGCAAGCATTTTATCTAAGCGTTTTTCCAGGCCCCCTGATGATAGATTCTGTTCATCAGTCCTACATCCTTCCTCTGGCACTGGGGATGTGGTTCAGCTTTAGTGTGTGTGTGTGTGTGTGTGTGTGTGTGTAGCATGCCTGAGACTTACATTCAATACCCAGCACTATCCCCCCCAAAAAAAACTTTAGGTGTTCCTAGGTCTGATTTTTATTTCTGTTTATCCATCTTCCATACTTCCTTATTGTTCTTCACGCATTTCTACTTTCATTGTATTTGCATGTGTAGTTCTTTACTTTTTCCTGATTCTGTTGCTCACATTGAAGATTATTCAAAGACTCTGCTCCTTCTGCATCTCCTCTATGAATATGCTCATTATGATGACGTTTATCTGGAAGAGGACACCCAAGCACGCTATTCAGGAATGATCCGGCATGTGTTCCAAAAGCAAAGATGACTAGTAAGATTAGGTAGATAGCTGAGCTGTTGATAGGCAAGTGGCAGAAAAACATTTTGAAAGAATGCACTGGAGTTCAATGTTACAAGGTAGAAAGGTCCCAAGAAAAATCTTTCTTACTAGTCAGCTTTGTTCCATAATGATTCAATATCTAAGAGCACAAAAAAGAACATTTCTCCATTTAACAAGTATATTTTCAGAATTATTCAGTATGCAATCCTTTTTTGGTTTGCTTTTATTTTAATGTCAGATATTTTGTGTCTTCGTTTAATTGTGAATGCATTCATGATAAATGAAAATACCAGTAAACAGTTGTTACAAAGTTTGATCATTTTGTAGTAATAATGTTCTTTCATTAGCATCAGCATTAGGAGGCATGCATGTGTACTCACTGATGTGAAGTGACATGGATGTCTGTGTCTATGAGCTGGCATGAACTGACTTAAAGTATAAATCTTACTTTTCATTGTGTCTCAGATGTTCCTGTGGCACCTGAAGTAAGTTAAATAACCTGCAGTCCACCTTCCCAGCATTTCCTCTGGCAGTTTAGATTTACTGTTCTTATAGTAGGGTGGGAATTCTTACATACTACCAGCATCAGAACTACTTGCTCCAAATTTTATGTTCTTGGCATGATATTAATCATGATTACACACACACACACACACACACACACACACACACACAGTTCATTCTTTAACGTTTAATTTAAACGTTTTTTTTTTTACTTGATAATAATTTATTATTACACCTCCTTAACCCATCCACTATCCATAGCGCCATTCTGATGTGATAGAACCCTTTGGAGGGCTACAAGTTGTATAGTATTGCTCTGTGTAAATGAGCAAAGGAAGGAAGTCAGTAACATTAGGAAAAATGGTTTCATAGATAAAATGCAATAATATGTGCCTTAATAGCATAGTACTTGCATTTAATAAATGGTAAGCTTTCTCATTTTAAGAAGTTGTGTTTATAACCTTAGCTATAAGTGACTGTATTATGCTATCAAATTGGGCAGATTTGTATAGGACTTTACACAGCAAAAGAATAAAACCTTTCTTGATGGTCTGTGATTGACTTCTAGGTTTAAAGACTTTCTCTGTGATAAAATATTAATTGACACCCAGAGTAAACAAAAGTTCCAAGGCTAGAAGTCAACTTCTAAGAATGTATCAATTAATAGAGTTGCTTTTATATTCTTTGTTCCCAGAAATCAGTTTTTTTTTTTGTTCTTCACTGTTTTTTTATTTTATAGTCTAATAAAGCTGTTCTCCTTACTATTCTTTAACTTGATAAAGTCTGGAATGCAAAACAAAGTCCTTTAAAGAAATATTTGAATCCAAGTATGGTGACACATGCCTTTAATCCCAGCACTCAGGAGGCAGACACAGGTAGTTTCTGTGGGTTTGAGGCCAGCCTGGTCTACATAATGAGTTCCAAGGCAGACAGAGCTACCTAGTGGACCTTGCCTTTATGAAGATGAAAGCTAATCTTTACATTTCCTATCCTGTTCAGTGTGGTTGATATAACTATAGATGATTTAAAAAACAGATCAGAGGGGCTAGAAAGATGACTCAGCAATTAAGAACAATGGCTGCTGCTGCAGAGGACCCAGGTTCAGTTCTCAGGACCCACATGGCCACTAATAACATTTCCTAACTCCAATTTCAGGAAATCTGACACTGCCTTGTGGCCTCCATGGGCATTGCATGGCACATGTGCATTTACATGTAGGCATAGCACTCATAAATATAAAATCAAAATAATAAAATATTTTAAAAGATGAGTTTTGTTGTGTGTGTGTGTGTGTGTGTGTCTGTCTGTCTGTGTTTGTGTGTGTTTGTCTGTCTGTCTGTCTGTGTTTGTGTGTGTCTCTGTGTGTGTAAGCCAGGGCCTTAAGCATGCTAGGCAAGCATTGTGACACTGAGCTATATCCTCAGCCCTTGGTTTTTGGAAATCAAACCTCCAGCTGACCTCAACCTTGTGACCCTCCTGTCTCTCCCACCTGAGTGCTGAGTGCTGGGATTACAGGCCTGCAACACATACAGCTCGTAATGGTCATTGCTGCTTTCGTGCTTCATTGCTGGTGTCTTTTAAAGTTCCACTGGGGGGACAGTTGAGATAAAAAGCTTATCTTGTAGTTCCGTACTTATGGCTATGTTTTCACACTAGAAAAACAACTCTGAACTCCAGTTAGTAGATCTGTACTCAAAGAGAATGTATTCGATTAATGTTAAAACATTAGTGGTGGGTGGAGGGTATAGTTCAGTGGTAGAGAATTTGTTTTCCAAGACTGAGAACCTGAGGTTGATTGCTAGCATAAAACAAACATAAAACCTCATACAAAGAGGAATTTCACCATGGTACCTTTAGTTTTACACTAAGCAGAACTTCATGGCACATCTTAATAAATGTAGAGTTGGTCTGTACACCTGAATGGGAAGTTTGTACATAGAGAGCTGTAATTGTATTAAAGCTCACGAAATGTTTTTTAGATTTATCTTCTTTCTGTTAATACTCATTAACTATCAAAAATAGAATAGCAATATGTCAAAATTCCTCCTTATTTTGAATTTATAAAAGTAA